AATACAATGAAGACCGCACTGCATTATACACTTAATCCATAAATATGTTTCATGAATATCATACTCGGGCTGACATACATCTTGCCACCGAGCGCGTGGGCACTATGATGAGAAAGAGGCAAATCCTGGGAGCAACATCCGTAGACTTGACCTCGAAGTTATCTTGCCTGAGCTGACTCAAGATGACGGGAGTTTTGAGCAATTAACGCAAGCAGTAAAGTTTTGAGCAGTAAAATTGTGAGCAGCAAAGTTATGAGCAATAAAGTTATGAGCAATAAAGTTATGAGCAGTAAAGTTAGGAGCAATAAAGTTATGAGCAGTAAAGTTATGAGTAATAAAGGTATGAGCAATAAAGTTATGAGCAATAAGATTATGAGCAATAAAGTTGTGAGTAATAAAGTTATGAGCAATAAAGTTATGAGCAATAAAGTTGTGAGTAATAAAGTTATGAGCAATAAGATTATGAGCAATAAAGTTGTGAGTAATAAAGTTATGAGCAATAAAGTTATGAGCAGTAAAGTTATGAGCAATAAAGTTATGAGCAATAAAGTTATGAGCAATAAAGTTATGAGCAATAAGANCAGCTGTCTCTTATACACATCTAGATGTGTATAAGAGACAGACATGAGACACTCTACTGATCGTAGTTGCTGCCACACAAGACATGAGACACTCAGCTGATCGTAGTTGCTGCCACACAAGACATGAGACACTCAGCTGATCGTAGTTGCTGCCACACAAGACATGAGACACTCAGCTGATCGTAGTTGCTGCCACACAAGACATGAGACACTCTGCTGATCGTAGTTGTTGCATCACTAGTATGCGTACGTAGCGTCATGTAGCATCACGAGTATGCTATGTAGTTCTAATTTTTATTTTAATATTTTAACACCGAAATTAGCCAAAACCCACATTATTTTAACTAAAATTTTAGGGAAATAATGCCGTTTTTAAGTAAATTCAACATGTTTTTTTAATTATGATTTTAATATTTTTAACACGCAAAATAGTCAAAACCCACATTATTTTAGCTCAAAATTTTAAAGAAAATAATGTCTATTTGAAGTATATACTCTATATATTTTTAATTTTGATTTTATTATTTTTAACACGTAAAATAGTCCAATTGAACGATGAACAATGCGCCAGTGTTCGGCTGGTTAATTCTGAAGCAGAATATCCTATCCTGAAGCCGAATATTTTACTTTGAAACGGAATCGCGCACCTGGAATTTTCCTTCATCGAGGACTGTTATTTTACTCTGTTATGAGTTGTTTTATTTAGTTAATTGAATGAAAAGTTTCAATGATGTAACAAAATTGTCATCAATGTAATCTCAATGTTAACTGCTCTCATAGCGGCAATTGCCTCTCACTATGGCAGCTGCCCCTCGATCACTATGGCAGGTGACACTCAGTATGGCAGTTCGCACGAAGTGTTACACTTGTTGCTTGTTAACATGTTTCGAGCAGCGACAAAGCTGCTTTATACACGTGCCACAAGCAAATTTACCAGCAGCAACAAGTGTAACACATGTTCGGGCCAATTGCCATGCTGAGTGGCAGCTCCGTCATGCAGCGTACGGCCAGTGTAGCTCCCACCTGTTGGAGGAGAGTGCGTGCGACGTGCTGCGTATTGCATATAATGTTATCACATTATATACAATATCACGTTATGATACGGTCACATTGTAACGGAAAACTGTCCCCAGTTATTGCGGGCAGTTTTTCATTTTGCTTGCCGTGGCTTGTCTATCTTTGGTAGCTCTACATTCACTCATGTTAAGCGCCAAGTTCGGCCTCCACATTACTGTAAGTCTTAATCACAACCTATGACAAAATTGTGCCAAAGTTGAATCGGAGCTCCACAATTGAAAATTCACCTGAGGATTTTGCGTTTTCTGTGGTCATCTACTCGTGGTATTTGTAGACGCCATATCTACATTGTACCATTGTCTTTTGATTTCCTACCGTGAAATGTCTCTCGTTTTTTTGGAAGCCACATGTTAAAAATTCAATAGAAATTAAAATCTGTTTAAGCTGACTGACCTTTGCAATAAATCAGCTTGAACGTATGCTGAGTTGGGAATGCAACAAACAGCTTCAAATGTGGCTAGGACGTGAGATATTTACTGGCTGCATTGGCATAAGTGTTTTACAGTCAAACAGCGCATAAGCTTACAGTTAGTTCTACGCACATTTCGACAAATTCATCTCCTTAGTCAAATTCACAACTAGCATATTTTCTGTTTTCCTATCAAATCGAGAGACAAGCCATTTGGGAACTTGCATGTTATATAGATCTTGGAAAATTGCAAAGAAGTAACTCTATGTTTATTTAGATGTTCATAATATATCTCAAGTCACTGTCTGAAAAGCTCTTAGACTTCTTATGCACTCAGCACTCGTAATTTGAAAAAAAATATTTGAAATCGTTTTGTTACAGTGAACATTTAAAAAAATTTTTTTTCTTGAAAACCACGATAATTATTCGAGTATTAATGGTTGTTAAATTTTCGCCTTGCACACGTTTTTATTCTTCGTTAAATTATATATTCTATTATGTTGAGAGATTTGATGCACACTTTCAATGCTTCATTTATTTCAACACTTAATTCCTTCACTAAAATATGCGGTCCGTGTTAAATTCAGTGAACATCATACACAAAAGGAATATTTTTCTTAAAAAAAAACAAGTAAACTTCTATAAATGCCTAAGTAAATCTGGTGCATCGTCGGCTAAACTGCACTAATATTATAGAACAACTTTTCTTTCAAATACTTCTTCAAGCATTGAAAAATCATTTACCTTCTGAAAAGATTCAAGATAATCAGCAAAGACGAACTCGTCAGATGTATTTAAAGGTTATTATAGCTCTCATATATGAGAATTTGAACTTTAAAAAGTTGATTCGTCAAGTAGAATAGCAAACTTAGAACATTGGGGTTCTGATGTTTGTTTTTCACCATCAAAGGCCAATTCATCAATGTGGCGCTGAATAGATCGTACACTTAACGGTATGATTTTAAAACTTATTTATAGTCTTTTCGGTATTTTTTTGCATATTTCTATCGGAGATTTTCGATTTATATCTTATATTAAAATTGTGCAAAATTTTAACTTTACTACTGGAACTTGTTTCTGAATGAAAGGCCTTCAAAACGTTTTCATTTGGTTTAATTTTCCTTGATCGACCTCCTTTCGACTCCTATCAACTTATCGACCCCTTGGGTTCTCTTCTTTCTTCGACCCCATGATGTCGATGACGGCCCCGTTTCAGAACTGTAGACGAAGAAAGCATCTATATAAAATTGCGATTACATTATAGTACCTTAACTTTTTTAGTGGACCCTCATTTTGAAACATCATTCCTTATTTTGATATAGGACCCTTATTATGCAATAGAACTGGCAATACTTTCAGTGTACTAATTTATCTCAATAATATGAAGCGTTATTTAGCTTACGTTTCGCAATTTCTTTCAAAACGAAACATTTTAAAAGAAACCCTTTTTGCGTAAATGCAACTGTGAAAAATGGAAGAAACAGGAGAAATTCATAATCAATATAATCCTAAAATAATTCAGCCACCGTTACGTGGCGACTTCATATGATACTTTGAGACGAGCGTATTCGCTATCAACAATGACATGGAGGCAATAATTAATCTAGTAATAAATCATCGTCAATAGCTCAGTGTGTACTTGCATCCTACTTTAGTTGATCAGCTGAGTGGTAGCGGCAGCGCATATACAGCACAGTATAAAACATTTAAATTGGCTATGAACTTCTTTTAAAACACTTGCCTTACAGAGTGTTTAGCTGCAAGTACTGCAGGGCTCTGCATCTATGCTCACAGTATCTCAGAGCTCTCCATCTTTGCTCCAAGTATCTCAGAGCTCTCCATCTATGCTTCAGGTATCTCAGAGCTCTATATCTTTGCTTCAGGTATCTCAGAGCTCTCCATCTTTGCTCCAAGTATCTCAGAGCTCTCCATCTATGCTTCAGGTATCTCAGAGCTCTATCTATATCTTTGCTCCAAGTACCTCAGAGCTCTCCATCTATGCTTCAGGTATCTCAGAGCTCTCCATCTTTGCTCCAAGTATCTCAGTTCTTCAGGGCCACTCCTAGTGTGTCAGGGCACTCCATCTTGACTCAAAGCGCTTCAGAGTACTCCACATTCGCTCGGGATTAACAATCGTATTTTAAATGATACAAAATGCTTGTATTTTTATAGCTATTTTTGCGTTTTGAATCTAAAAATAACTGCCTTTACCGGACCCAGTCCGCTTACAATAGAGACTTACCAACGTGTCCAAATGATTCAGAATCTTGAAGTGATGCCCGATTCAATCAGCTGTTGATACAAAGCACCATTTTTCTTAACATAAGAACATTTTTACAAGAACTTTATTTACAAAATATCAATCTACTTCAGAAATATTTAATAACGTCAGTTTCTTATATTCGGTGCGGCTGAAAGTTGTGAGTGACCGATAGCACGAACGCGTCAGGCTCCTTTTGAACTTCGAGAATATATTGGCAACGAGAGATTATTTATAAACGAGTTCAATTTTCATTTCCTGATCTAATTCAAAATTGTATTCAATATTTATAAGAACATGCATTATTAAGAGCTGTTTCCATACCGAGAGAGGGGACGGCCTTTTGAGGGTAAATTCAGCAAGGCCTAATAAATAAGAATATAATTTCTCTGTACCATGGAGGACAAGGCAAGAAGCTACATGGATGCTGGGCGGCTCCGACAGTATTATACCAGCTTTGCAGGTGAGAGTGGCGGTTCTCAAATTTAAACATGCATTTTATTTTCGAAGCGTGGTTTTAGATCCGAAGCTATTTATTTCTTAGCGTGTACCCTCTTACAAACTACAGCATTCCATACGTATTTAAACTCGTGATAATTTAGCAATAACAATTTATTTATTTAGCAAAAACAATAATTTTTCACGAAAATTTATGAATGATTTTCCAGTCTCGATGAGCGGTTTTGGAGTTGGCATTGTGCTCGGGCTTAGCTCTCCTGCGACGTTCCAGCTACGCGCCCAGCAACAGGAAGCCCTCAACAATTCAGCTCAGTTAAACAACAGCATCGTGGCATCCCAGGATATGATCGTGATGACTTCAGCAGAAATTTCGCTGTTCAGTGCCGTGTATTCCTGCGGTGCATTAGCGGGAGGTCTCCTGAGCAGCGCTCTTATGAACAGGCTGGGCAGACGCGCTACTTTAATGGTCTCAGTCTTACCGTGCCTCCTGGGCTGCTGCCTCATGGGTGAGAGATAATAATAATATAGCGGTTTCAGCGTTTATTATGCCGTAAACCTGTCGCGTATTTTTAACATTGCAGAACATCCACAGCTTGTTGCAGGCTTGAACTCGCAACTCATTGCTTCAAATTTTCTTTGCTTAACCACCCGGCCTACTTGCCGATTCTGACCAGAAACTGACGCACAGAGCTAGGATCGAACCCGCACCTCTCTGCTCCAATTTTGGTACTCTGAACTGTAACCACTGGGCCACCCTGCCTTCAGGTACTCAGATGTTCTTTGCCTTCAGGTACTCGGTCAAAATCATGCAAGTATTTGAGTGAAAGATGCTCTCTTCACTTCTCTGATTTCTCATACTTTTCGTACAAGCATATCAAACATTTATGCTTGTAATTGAGAGATAAAGCACCGCTTGCTCTATTCAATAGATATACCCGAAACCGTATTCATTTTGGCTAAAAAAGAGGCTTCAATTTTGTATGGATTAAGTTCGTGGAAAGTACACACTTTGAAAGATTTATATCATGCAAAAAAACTGATTCTGATTTTGATTGCATGGATAAATTTTCCTAGACTATTATTGCTTGAGTAAGATGAGATCACAGAATAGAGACAGGCAAAATTGATAATGTTATTATTTCATCACGCGGGGAAAAGATCTAGTTAAGCTTTTCCGAATAGATGACTCCTCGGCAGTTTCGTAGAACGCCGCTAAATTCATATGATAAAAATTAAATAATCTTTTAAAATGACGGAAAACAAAGTAATATGGAATCTATACTTAAAAACACGCTTGCTGTGAGTGTAACTATTTTTGTAACTTCAGTCTGTATTGCAGGACTGAGCATCATGCATATGGTGTACTTTTCATGGTCAGGATACTGACAGGAGTGTTGCATGTGTTATCTGTGTTCCAGCACTGAGCAGTAACTATGGGGTGCTCTACCCTGGCAGGATACTGACTGGTGCTTCGCATGTTTTATCTGTGTTACAGGACTAAGCAGCAACTATGGAGTGCTCCTAACTGGCAGGATACTGACGGGAGTGTTCATAGGAGTGAGTGGAGCGTCGGGCAACGCCTTCCTGGGGGAAATTGCGGCTAGTGACATCCGTGGGATGCTAGGTTAGTATTTAAATAAAATAAATGGTCATATAGGTAGAAGTTATTTCATAAATTTCGGAATTTTTAGACCATTAATTCCCCACATTTGGAAGCCCTAAATGTAGTCGTGTCTTCATTGCTGTTCAGTATTGCTACATGTGTCATAAATTCTCCCATTTGGTAAATATCAATGAAAATTTTTGCGAAGTCCTTGTCCATATTGTATTAAATGATGCGAACATTGTCTGGACACATCCCTAGGAAGCGATGTGTCCGCATCCCTTCAAGTCAATAGAATATTTCTGATCCAATGATGATGATAGTTAAATACACGATCTTGATTATTCAAGGTAACTTATATTGAAGAGCTACTCGTTTCTAATGGCAAGGTAAAGAGAGTTATATATATGGATGTGGTGTTCGCACAAAGCTCCACCCCTAACAAAGTTCAGGTACCACCTAGGCTTCGGCCGAAAGTTCGCTACACCTCGACACAAAGAAGTTAACCATAACTATCAGAATAGAATAGAATAGAATAGAAATGTCGGCACTGAAGAAATAGGCCCATGGCCTGTTGCCGCTTCTTGAATTTTTCGTGACTTGGTTCACGAGGGATCCAGCCTTTGGAGCCCGATCTTTCCATAACTGACGATTGATTGAGATAGCTGCTGGACTTATTGCCTGGTCCGTAATTTGCTAGGTTTTTTAAGACTGAACATATGCTCCTGCATAGCTTCGTCTAGTCTGTTCTTGAAGGCGTTTGAAGGCGCCAAAATTCACGTAGCTTTTATTAATCATTTTTACGTTGCTGCGCTTGATGGTAAATTCCGGAATCAGCCGTTAAAAAATTTACAGTTCAAATAAAAATAACTAATTAATAACGATGTTTGACTCCCTTACTTGACTCCACTTAATTAGCCTAATGACCCTCCATCATGCAGCCAAAGGTAATTGAATCCGAAGGACGAATTTACTTACAGAGAGGCCTTGCAGTCACGTCTGAGCATGTTCAACTTGCAAGTCATGCAGTGCCTACAGCCGAGTGCCAGCAGCCTGGCCTAAACTATGAAACTCCAGTTGATTTTTTATGCGTAAAACCTTCCGCTCCAGAAATTGATCCAGTTGCCAAGATGAATTGGAGATCTAAACCTAACGCATAAGGATATAAGGAGCTCAAATAACAACTGATGCAAAGCATACATCGGGTCAGATCGGCCACTCAATTGATATCAGTTTCTGGTCAAACTGCCCTTTACGACTTTCTATTCGCCTGGGAGTATGACAATAGCTGGCCGAGACAAGTTTCTAGTCTCTACGAGCTTGCAATCGCCCTCCCTATAAAAATTTTTACTCCTATCAGCCGCTGGCACAAGGACGCCCCAAGCTCGCCTAGCGCGTAAGTTAGCGGCTCTATGTCTAGCGGCTTCAGGCTCTGGTCGTACGAGGGAAATGAGCTCCTGATTGGGATCCGGTCTATTGGGATCCGGACAACCGTGGGGCGAGTGGGGGCCACGCGTATTTGGTACCAGATACCTTCGGTTGCCTGATACCTTCGGGACAGACACGGCTGAATCTAAAAAATGCGCTAAAAATGCCTTCTCCCTTCCCTCCTTATACTGGGTGGAAGGGAGGAGACATTTTAATCGATGTAAGCTATATATATGAGCAGACTAGACATGTATCACCGCGGCACAATAAAACAAGTGGCAAGTAAACGCGAGTTTGAACCGGGAATAATATCAGTTAATACAACTTTCAACCCCAACTTTTCACATGCTCCACAACATTCTGTAATATTTACCGGAATGCAAGATCCTCTTACATTGCCAGAACAAAGCAATCTTCAATATTCAACAGCACTCAGCATTCTCACACATTGCCCAAAACCAAACATTCTTCAATATGCAATAGCCCTCAGCGATCAACATTCTCCAATACTCAACACAGCTCAATATTATCCCACATTGTCCATGTGCGAAACATTCTACCCACTCACCCGTACCAAACATTCCTACCTATTGCGGTAGTAGCGGTACCGAACATTTTCAACGTACGGCTGAGCAGAACATTCTCTCACATAAACCAGTATTGAACCCTCTCTCATATTCGCTAACACCAAATATTCAAATACACTATTAAGCATTCTCCAGCAATAATCAGTTAAATCAGTCATCAAAATTATCCCAAAATATTAGCAAACCATATTCTAACCATTCCAACATAGCGCAGCTTCAATATAGTAGCTAATTCCTGTTTCCAGGTATGAAGTTCCTAAAATATAGAAAATTATTCGCGGTAATGCAATCCTTCCCAATCCCGTGTACCTTAACTTCTCGAAATACACACTCGCATCCACATTAACCAGTATCACATCCTCTCACAATAACCAGTATCAAACATTCCCTCGTTAGTCTCATATTCACCAGTACTAATTATTTGATATATATTCATCACTACCAAAGTTTCTCCATTCAGCAAATCCAAAATATTCCTACCAATTCATCAGTCAGTAACAACACTCTCCCACTTACAATAAGAACCAAACATTCCATTACTTATACACCAGTACCAAGCCTTTTCACGCAATAATCAGTCCTCAGACCCAAAGTTTTCCTACAACATGTACAAGAAACAGCAAGTGTATCTACAAGACTCAATTTTAATGCAAGGCTCAATTTTATCCAATTCAAAACAATAATTAGATTTCACTTCGAATAGAGTTCATAATAACGGAACCGTGCGAACCGTGCAACTTAGTTACTTACAAATACGCTTCGTAACCCTGTTGGAACATGTGTGTTCAGCAGCAAACTGTCCGCCGACCAGTTGGTAAGGATGCCAGGGGCCGATAAAAGTAACGCAAGCGTGTTGGAGATAACGCAATACCCACGCGTTTTACTATACACACGCAAAGCACGCGCGTTGACAGACAAGCAAAGCACGCGCGTTGAAAGACACGCATTGCACGCGTGTTGAATCTTACGTAACTCTCGCGTGAGCAACACGCACTCAATGCAAGCGAGTTGAAGATAACGCAACGCAGGGATGTTGACGTACACGCAATGCAGGAGTGTTGAAACGCTCGCGTGTTGATAAGTTCGTACCGATGCATAATGCACAAGCAGCGTCAGGACTAAAGGCAGGGCTTGTCACGCTCGCGCTAAGAACTCATGTCAGCCACTGAGCAGGATAAGCCAATGGTGGCCCGATCAGCCGCTGATTTCGTGTGTCATTTGACCCTTATATTTTTAACCATGGAACTACCCAGAGTAGCTCATATTCGGCAGCTGAATGGAGGAGCCAGACATTTCACGCTTGATTCATCTCTAAGGAGAGAGTGGCAACCGAAAGGCGACCTACAGCTGCTTTTAAATTTTGACTGGGCTGAGGCTGCTCTTCAAACATTAAGCGGAAGCAGATATACTCCGTACGTCTGATTGGGGGCGCAGCCGTAGGCCACAAATTTTACTCTTAAATAAGCCCTGCAGCCAACGCCTAGCTCCATCATGCATTAACTTTACTCAGCCTCAGAACTAGAAGCCGCAGACTACGCTTGAACTCCGTAATCCAGACAAGCAACACACTGCCGAAAGATAATAGCGCCGTAGATCTTCAGCCAATGCTTAAGCATGCTCACTCATAAGCGGGCAGTTCCCCGTCCGGCTGTACCTACTCCGGCCTAACCTCTTCTGGCCTAGTCTATTCACGCTGTCCCGGCTCACAACCTTCTTGCAGCCAATGACAGGCTCTACCAGCACACTTAGACCGCCTTTCTAACTTCTTGCAGCCAATGAGCTTAGGTTAGGTCCGCTCAGGTTTGTTTTGGGTGGAGAAAGGTTGCAGCTCGTATGGGTTATAGGCCTGAAGAGGTTAGGCCAGAGGAGGTTTGGCCAGATCCAGTATGGCCATGCTTACCTTTGGCAAGATTATTTTGTGGCTGTGGGCATCCGGCGCTATGGCTTTGGGCACTTGACTTTATAGGCCGTTATGCACTCTAGCGTTCTTACCTATGGGAAGGAATATGAACTAAATGTGAAGTTTGGCAAAGCTGGCCTCCGGCATGTGCTCCCGTCTGATTTAAGCGCTTCCCGAGTCCTAGGCGAAACCTATTTCAGAGGCAGTCCCGCATCTAAATTTTTTAGGAACGAGCCTGTCCGAGCTCAACAAAGGGTTCAATACCACATGGTTGGACGGAACTCGGACCAAGCGTCACTGGGCTCAAACCATGGAAAACTTCTATTTAACAACTGCAGCCTCTGCGTTGATGATGATCCAAGTCGAGGAATAAATTAGCATGCCGAGATTTGAAGAGTATAAATTGAGACACAAATTTTACATTCTTACCCACAAAATTGAATAAAATTTTTCAAGACATATCATAGAATGCATAGAAAGTTGCAGTAATCAAAATTTACTAGAAATTCTATGAATGACTGATATTATTGACAGGTGCACTATACGAGCTCATGCTGGTGGCAGGCGTTCTGATAGCGTTCGTGACAAGAGAGTACGTCTCCTGGCAGCAGCTCGCCCTCATCACCAACGCCCCTGTCCTGCTCCTCGCATTGCTCGTCTTCTTCACCAAAGAATCGCCCGCTTTTTTGCTCATCGCTGGAAAAGAGAATGAAGCTCGCGCTGCTCTTCAATATTACAGAGGTTCAGTGTTCTTTCTCAGGACTCTCCTTTGAAGAGTTAATTTCTTTTTATCCTTTCAATTGACCTAAAAAGTTTTACTACGATAAAGGTATATCATTTTCACCTTAGCGCAACTTACCTCAACAACGGGGTAATATGACAGCCACAGCCATACAACATTATTATGCATGTCGATTGCATCATGTTATCAAACATTAGAGCCATGAAGCGTTTGTTATGCTAATGACGTTGTTGGTGTTTTGTTCTACAGAAAACTATTAACTGCAAGAGGGAATGAATTTCGACGAGCCGACACCACTAAGGCTTTGAAAACAAATGCTAAATGGAAATTCGCCTAATTACGATATGAATAACTTAACTTTTATTCATTATAAGAACAGAGTTGTGATGAATAAAATGTTTTCTTTCACACCAGGGCCCGACCGTGATGTAGACATGGAAATGTGCGCCCTGAAAGAGTCACAGATGGAGACTAGAGGGAAGCGCCTTGCTCTATCTGACCTCAAGAAACGACACATTTACTTGCCGCTCTTCATCACAGTCGTGACGGCCTCCATGTTCCATCTCTGCGGCATAGGAATGGTTTATGCGAATTTCTCCACAGTATTTAAGGTAGCATTTAATGGATATTAAAATACATTTGAAGAAATTTAATGTTTTGTGCAACTTTATATTATTGGATATATACGTACATCATCCTTCCTTTACGAGTGGAAGTGAATCGATATTGATCATTCCAAATTAATGAATAAGATAACCAAAGAATTACTATGTCCGGTAATCTAATGCATTATATTTGAACAAACTCACAAAGCAAGTTCGATATTTTAATAGTTTGTTGAAATCAATTACAATCAGTTGACCTGGAGCTTTTCCTCGAGCCATCGGGATTGCCACATAACCAAGAAGATTGGAGGCCCAGCGCTTAGCGACAAAATGGACAGTTGTACATCCTGAAAGAATGTAATGATTTACGTCGTGTTACTGTGAACTCGTCCCGAGTTGGTCATTGCATATGGTTGGTAGCTCAATGAAGTAACGCCTAAGCGCTAAATTCTCTCTTCAGAGCACCAAGACGAACATGTCGGAGGCAACGGGCGTCATCGCCTGTTGCGGAGTCGAGCTGATCACGGCGGTGGCGGCGATCTTCTTGATCGAGAGAGCTGGACGCAAGACACTGCTGCTTGTCTCCGGCGCTGTCATGAGTGCTAGTTTCGGTCAGTTCAAAACCAAATAAGAATTCGCAGTATGAAATGATTATTTTTGATTGAGGGATTCAAATGATGTGAATATTTCTAATTGAATATTTGAAATTGTCTCATGAAAATGAGTCGATGACGTCTGCTCCTTAAAGTAGAGAACTTCAAACATCGACGATATTTCATCATTAAATTTATTCGACTGATCCCCCTCATGGGGGTCTTCTGACGTGTGTCTGTGCTCGTTTGAAGTCCAATGAGATCTCACGCTCCTGGGGGATTGTTCCTGAGCGCCCCACCGATGAGCTCGCGGTGTCTGACTGCAGATCTCAGTTGTGGGGTTAAATTATTATGTAGGTAGGATTCCTCACATTTCCCTTCTCGGTCTCTCTCGTGCGGGCGGCCGACATCGCGTGTAAGCGACCTTTTGTTCGAGTGTCTTGGTTTCTGTTGCTTTTCACCTGTCCCTTCTGGTCTCTTCGTCTCTGTGAGATGCTAACGCTGCTTCTTGCGAGCCAGCTTCAGCGGGCTGGACAATTGAGACCTTCCGCACTTTATAGGTGATGATTATTTTGAGATTTTGAAGAATTGAGGCCTTTCGCCTCGGTGGCGATGTTATATTTTGACCTCCGGTGCGAAATAGCTTGATAGCTAAAGCGCTAGCAAACCATTATACTACTACTACTACTATTCGACTGATCTTTCAGGGTACCTAATAGCGAATAAAATCTACTGCCTTCCTTGTTTCTTTTGTGATATTCAACACATATTACAGTTAATGACCATTGATTTAACAAATTTTGTCCTCAGGATGCCTGGGATTATATTTTTATTTCTTGAGCTGCAATGAACTGTGGGCCAAACAACATCTTTCCTGGCTGCCCCTGACCTCGCTATTGGCGTACGTCGTGGCATTCGGCATCGGTTACGGGCCCATACCGTGGATACTTTTGGGTGGGCTTACGCGTTTCTATTGACGCACTTCGTTACTTTTAATAAAATTCTCATCAGTATTCAGCGGCAGATTGTATGAAGGTTGAATTTTTTGCCCTTGTTTAACTGGTTCATATAACTTTCCCTGGCTTTCCTTTTCTCTATTTACTTTTGTTTACAGCATTGTTCAGCAAACAACTGAGAAGGGACGTTGAACACTTTGACCTAAATGAAAGTAATGGATAGTATTTGAATATTTTCATGTTTTACGCAAGTCTGAGACTCAATAATTTTTTTTAAATCATTGGAAAAACATTTTTTGCGATTTTATTAGATGTAATTCTTGGTCTAACTGAGGCCTCGAGCCTCAGTTAGGAGTAAAATAAACTTGAGAGTTGAAAAGGGTTATTAACTCGTCGAAGCGTCTTTGGGATGGAACTGACCTTGTAAACCTTGAAGTTCAGCCGTCTAAACTTCCAATAACGACAACAGAACTCCCATCTCGATTGACAGGTGTCGGAGTCGGTGAATATACTGAGGTGAAAGACGATGTGTTCGAATTAGGTGCTTTGCAATGCACAAGAACTACCATTTAATCTAGAAGAACTCCCATGATATCTAAAACTAGAAAAACCGTATAACTTAGAACTAGAATTGCCATAGAACCTAGAACTGTCATGTAAGCTAGAACTACCATATAGAACCTGAAACTACGTTATAACATAGAACTACCATAGAATATAGAATTATCATAGAGAATAGAACAACCATAGAACATAGAACTACCATAGAATCTAGAACTAGAAACACCGCATAACTTAGGACTAGAATTAATAAAGAACCTAAAACTACCATAAAACCTAGAACTACCATAGAACCTAAAACTACCATAAAACCTAGAACTACCACAGAACCTAAAACTACCATAGAACCTAAAACTACCATAGAACATAGAACTACCATAGAACCTAGAACTACCATAGAACCAAGAACTACCATAGAACCTAGAACTACCATAGAACCTAGAACCAGTATGGAACTATGAACTATTTCTATCGGGCCCACGTTCGTTCAAACACTAATCGAAACATGGCATGTTAACAGGTGAAATGTTCCCACCGTTGATACGAGAGACGGCGGCCGGTCTCACGGTGACAGTGGTTTGGACCCTGTCGTTCATAACGATCGTCACATACGACGCGCTCAGCGTAAGTAGCTTCTTACCATCAGACATTCTCTTAATAAAATTCATCCATTCAATGGGAACCTAGCGGTTTAAAAAGTTATATATGTACGTAGCCGTTACTTCAGGTGTCAAGTTAATTTTTTATGGCATGTCAATTTGAAATTCAATAAAGTATTCAAATGAACACCAGTGAGAAGCAATACAACCTACTGTATTAAATTATGAAAACATAAGGAAGTGTACATTTTGTTCGATATTAAAACCTTAATAAAATATTTATAATTCCCAGGGTGATAATTCGTTAAAATTAATTCATCATTATACTGCACACACAAATAGTTGCACAACTGATGCAAGAATAACGACTTGTTTACGACGCAGACGGCTGTAAGATTGTACCCCACACAGCATCATCGTTGAACGTATAAATAACGTTGATTAAACGTTGTAAAAAGTTTAATCAACGAAACGAAATTAACTTGCAATCGACGTTTTTTCAATGTTATTTGCAGAGCTGGGCAGCGCTACTTTGAAATGTAGCGGCCGCTACCGCTACCGCTACATGCTCTAAATGTAGCGGGCGCTACCGCTACCGCTATAATTGCTTAAATGTACTACTGAAAATGTAGCGGCCGCTACATGTAGCGCGCTACTGCCCACCTCTGGTTATTTGTAGGTTTCTACCGGCCCTCAGGCGGTAGAAACCTACAGAAGACATAGCTTGACAACAGCTATTCACGTCACAAAACATAAGGTGCTTATACACGGGGAAAGTATTAGCCGATAGTATTAGCGCAAGTAATTTTAGCTTCAAATATGGGACTAATATCTTTTCCGGGGGAAATTAGCTGAGAGCGGGCGCTTGTAGTCAATAGGGTTTGTATTTTTGCACTGGAAAGTGACATCAGTTGGGCTGCAGCAGCCATGATGTGTGTATTTGTGTCACTCCGTGCGTTCATGAAATAAAGTCGATTATGCTGCTAGTTTTCTTTCCTTTTCTATACAGTTTTTCACCCACACACTGCGTTGATAGACAAAGTTTTTCCTATCCTCAGCTATAAAGTTGTAACAATTTCGCCAACTGCTTTATCAAAAGCCTCCCTAGTTAAGCTCGTCATTATGCAGACAGCACTACGCAGCCACGGCTTCTACTGGCTCTACGATACCATGAACTAATGACGTGCGACCCTACATTGCAGACAGCACAAGGCAGCCACGGCTTCTACTGGCTCTACGCTACCATGAATACCATGAACTAATGACGTGTTCCCTACATTGCAGACGGCGCTAGGTAGCTACGGCTTCTACTGGCTCTACGCCAGCATCTGCGCACTTGCCAGCATATTCACCGCCGCAGTCGTGAAGGAAACTAAAGGCAAACGCCTTGACGAAATTACTAAGCTCTTCGAGAGTAAAAAATCATACGGATGCAGCACCGCAGTGAAAAGAATCAAACAGGGTACCACGACAAACCAAGGGTAGTGTTAATTAAAAACTTATAATTTTACTATTAAAAATAAAATTCCTTATCTATTCATTATTTGTTGAACATTAGTTGTGCTTAGCGAGAGATGGTTGTGCTGCAGTATTGATGCTCTGAGTAAAGTTACAGAGCTTTGGATTGAATTTAACTACCCTCACACTTCCGTCCGAAAAACATTATGCTGAGCGATACCGTGATTTCTATGAAACTTTAGAATATAGCAAAAACAATTACCCGTCACAAAAAAATAATGAGAAAGCCTTATTAATTCCGTTTATCGACACTCTACTTTTCCGATCAGCTCTAAGATTGAAACCTTGCTATATTAAAGCGGCGACAGGAACATATACAATTATACATCGGCAACACCAGCAGGCACCGGCAATCGTTGCTACTGCAATCTGCCCTACTCATAAACCCTGTGCCGACAATGTTTCGTTCAGGTCAAGGACATCCCAACACACAAGCTGGGGCTGTAAATTTCTTACCTGCTAGTTGAGTAAATTAAATTTTCATCGTATAATTACCGCTAATGCAATAATTACAACTTTGATTTTCCCCTAATAGGGAATATTTACCTTACACTTACCCAGTGTTTATGATTTCCAAATATGTTAAGGTGCTTTTACATGGGGATAGTATTAGCTGCGGGTATTCGCAGCAAGCACTTCACACTTCAAAGTTTTAACAATGCCACCAGCTGCTTTATCATTACCTCCTCAAACTCGCCATTACCGTAACGTTTCATATTCCATCGAGCGCAAACCTCATTCGACGGCTCCTAACACGCACTGACACTTGTGGATTCGAAAATACTGTTTAGCAAATACTTTCTTCGTGTATAAGCTTTCAGCTGGCAAAGCTGGAAGTGTGAAGTACTTTCAGCTAATACTATCGCCGTGTATAAGCACCTTTAGTTAAGATGTATCGGAGCTTGGAATTCAGTCGATTACTGTGACGAATGAGAATGGATTTAAAGCAAAGCAAAAAATTTATCCATTCTTCTGGGCGTGTGAATTTCCCATGAGTGGGTTTTGCGTTTTATGAATTTGGTATTTAGGTCGAAACCGTCACTTCCCCAGCATTCGGGATGTTCCATGGAATGAAATATGGTGAACAAAAGCTGATAGTACATTCAAACGCTATTGGATACTCTGTTGAGAAGGGAGTGAAAATCCTGGCAAGGGATTGGAAGAAACGTGCTGCAATCCTGAAGAATAAGCGCAATTGGTGATTAATAAGTTTTCAGTACGCTACGCGGGGAGTAAATATAGAAAAGTATTAACTCCTTGTTAACGCCATAGTAAATAAAACGAGCGCATTGAACTTGAGTGTACAGATACATGAGCAACGTGATCGTAGTACAACTCAACGCGGAAGTAGCCCTGCGAAAATATGAAGACTGCAATCTCACAGAAAACGAAAAAGATTGTATAGAATAAAACGAAAAGAGATCGAAAGTTAAAATAAAACTGATCGAAAGCTTGAGAAGGACGACGCAACTCATAAAGTTTTGCAAGTGAGATAAAAATCTGTCAATGAGGGCATAGCTAAAATAATCTTGTTCGCTTTTTGCACTATGGCATCTAAAATTCAATAATTTTTGCTATAGCTGTCATTAGTGAACCAATAAGATGAGAATAATAAGTAGCCTAAGATTGTTACACTGCTAGTCGGCTAATGGGAAGAATGAAAAAGAAATGCGGGAAGTAAAATGAATTTGAAAGTGACAGCAAGCCTAATACACAGCATTTTGAATGAAATTCAACATAAAATTTTCCATATTGATGCCATTTAAAAGGTATAGACTCGAAATGAGAATTGCAACGAAACACAGCTGGTCATCGAACGAGTAGTGGTCACTCAAAGAGGGCCGCAGCCACTCTTCTCAGGGAGTGACCAGCAATGTCGGAGGGCAGGTCGCCACAATGTCGGAGGGCAGGTCGCCACAATGTCGGAGGGCAGGTCGCTACAATGTCGGAGGACAGGTCGCCACAATGTTGGAGGGCAGGTCGCTACAATGTCGGAGGTCAGGTCGCCACAATGTCGGAGGGCAGGTCGCCACAATGTCGGAGGGCAGGTCGCCACAATGTCGAAGCGCAGGTCGCCACAATGTCGGAGGGCAGGTCGCCACAATGTCGGAGGGCAGGTCGCCACAATGAGCTCCGACTTGCAGGAAAACTCAGCCGGGATAAGACCTCCATATGATGCTTCAACGGCGAAGATAAAGATAATTGGATAAACAATCAAATCTAGGTATTAATATCAATTTGAATTATGAGATGAAACGCGTGAAAATATTTCAGAGGGATTTACCCTCATGTTATTATATTATAGGGCGCAAGTTTCGCTATTTCGTTAATCGAGAGATACGTGTGTGAACTAGCATTTGAAAGTTAATTAAATATTAGTAGTGAACACCGTAGACTTAAGGCAGATTTTTTACCCCGTTCTCTGAATGCATCTCATCTTGCGGACCCTGCTGCTCTAACACGACATATAATACAGCATACTGCTTGAATTTGGGTGCCCACTTTCATTTTTTTATTAGGTGCTCGAACAAAAATTTCGAGTCTCTCACTCAAACAAAAATTTCGAGCATTCTCCAAATATTTTTAACAAGAGATTGAAATATTCAATTTATCAAATACGCAACTCCAGTTTCTCAAAGAATAAAATGTTTCTCAGACATTGATTTCTTAAATTAAACTTTTACCATCTATAGAAGCATCTCAATGACTGGCATACAAGCGGGAATTCCTGTCTGTTTCTTGACTTTCCTCCCCCCAATGAAGGATCATCTCGATTCTTTGACGGAAAATTTAGTCTTCGGTTCCATTAATTGAGTTAGCAAATCTCAAGCTTGAATTATAATTCTGATTATTAACTTTTGTTAACTAATTAATAAAATGTAACTATTGAGACCCGGGCGAGAAACAATCAAAGAAAACATGCGGCATTAATGAAATATTTCATGTTCAATAAATAGCGAACCAAACTTTCTCTCGTGTAAGGCAAAGATCGCAGTTCTTACAAACAAGGTTGCCGAGTTTTTTTTTCAGCAAAATTTACCAATTTATCTTTTTCAAATTGAAATGGCTGGTTATAATGAAAGATGGCCTTACACCTAATTCAGTTTTTGTGTGCTGAGCTACCCTAATATGTAACTTTTTGCCCCGTAAACTGCAAAATTTCTTACATGAGAGTGAGACCATTTTGGCATTTTTTGTGAGCTGATTTGTCCGTTTTCTATTCACACCTTCTGGCTACTTTGATGGCGCCGCTGTGCAGTCAGGGCGGCTCAGGCATCAAAGAGGAAACTGTGTGACGTGGCTGGACTGGGGCTATCGAGGACTTAGGCTTGTCCATTGTCTGTATCCATAGAGTTTAGTAAGCGCTGAAAACCAAGGGAAAGCGTCTCGTGCTTTATCTGCGTCCAAAGTTCACAGGACGTCGATTTAGAGTGTATTTATGCATCATAATCGAAACATTAATTAAATTCCAGAACCTCATTAATCGTTTTCAAGACTCACGAACTTCATATCTGGTTTACTGTTCGAGGGTGTGATACAAATGAACGATCCTGCCCTGCATATCTCTCTCGGGAGTCGTATGGGAGATTATAGCATTGAATATTTAATTCCCGTGAATATTCAACTGCAAGAACCGGAATTGCCGTTTTTTGATAGAAGTTGTTGGCACTAGGAGTGACCGCAGGCGAGTGACACAGGCGCAGCCATGAAATTACATTAATATAAGACTATTCAGGTCGGAATAACAAAATTATTCGCACTACCCCTTCAACGTCAAACAACAGATAATAGAGGCTTTTTAATACTATGAAATAAACGAGCTTTGTTGAAAAAAACTTTGCAGATTAGGCCATCGGGTCTCTCGCCGATTCTGAATATCGCAGATTTTTCACAGTTTGTTATAAGTCTCGAATACGCTGCTCCAACATTCACTGTACTTAACAGCTCGGACACCTTGCCTATTTTAACCAGAAATAAAACAGGAAGCTAGGGTCCAATGCAATCCAACTCGCTGCTCCAATTTTGATACTTTGAACTGTAACCACTGGGCCACCTCGCCCCAAGTGTATGCTGAAAACATTTAAAATGGTGCGGAAATGCGTTAGGGCTTTTTAATTAAAGATGGCAAACATTTATGATGAAGAACGAAGTGGGAAACCTCCATGCAGTCATTATCGATGATCTGGTTACGAAAGTACAGAGTAAAATGAAAGATAACAGACGATTCACGGTTTCCTTCTTTGCTGAAAGTTTCCTGCTGCCTCAAGAAGTGTTCTTTATGAAATTTTCTTATCAGGTTGTTTATTCAGGCGGCAAGCTTCTTTGACGATGACATAGAAACTCTGGTCCCGAGAATGATAAGTGCCTCAATATTAGTGGGAATTATGTTGAAATACTAAAGTATGTGCTTTCAAGTGAATCAATTATTTTCGAAATAAATTTGTTATTTTTTGACATCAAAGTTATATTTACTTTAATAATACGTTTTGTATTCGCGGTGCCAGACTTACAACACGCAAACTTTGACGCATAATTTTAAGATAGGTGTCGTTCCTGTATGTGACTTTGCCTATATCGATATACCGAGAGATAAGACCTTAAAAAATAATATGCTAAATAACATTGTCTAAATTTCATGTACAAAATTAATAACAAACATTTATGGGACTATGAACAACAAAATAACAATTTTGTACAGGATGTCCTTTAGTTTGAGAAATAAAAACTCGCATAATCTATTCAAGAATAGATTTTTGCCAGATTCTGATGTTCGTGATTCTAATGTTCCCCAAACTTCATAAATGGCAGCGCTCTGGCTACACAGCGCCTCACAATCTCTCAACGTTCACATTACATTATTTCTAAAGTAAAATGATAGAAAATTACTATGAGAAACAAAGTTGGTTTACAAGTTGTATTGCCTTATTATTATTGTTGCTTCATTATGTTACATTAAGGTTCTTGCACGTTACATCTCTTGCCGCGCTCATACAAGAAGCGACTAAGTCTGTTGACAGAGGCTGAACACCGAGGTGGGGTGACCACTC